GGGGGAGAGGGAGGCTACAAATATCGTCAATATGGCTGAGGGAACTAATATTGCCTAGACTATCTAAATTCCCTCAGTTACGAAGGAAAGGAAACCGACTCTTCAATATACTTGCTCACATGGGAACATCACATAGAACCACAATGATGTTATAAGAGCTTACAATTAGGGGATACACGATTGTCAGCAAAATCCATATGAATCTAAGGACACCCAACAGTTCTCTCCATTTCCAAGTGATTTCTTACTACAATACCTAGATGAGTAGCTGTTCCTATCATGATTTTTTTTTTCAAGTATAGCAGACTTGTTTCAGTGGCATGTGGAAGCACATTCTGCGATCCTACAAGATGTTTGAAAAAGTTGGTTAATGGCAAAGTTGTATATAAGTGTCTAGACGGATAAATATTGTTACTGTATTTAGAATTATTCAGTTTGTTTGTTTGTGTGTGAAAAAATGAAGAATTTAACCTGAAGAGTTTTTTAAAGTATAACCACAATTGATATGGGTAAGCTTAGACTCGGAACTGTAGTGCCCACAAGAGCTGAATGGAACCCCACCAGTAAAAGGATGAACCGGAATTCAGAATTCAGTGTAGAGAACACCCGGGAAATAAATAGAATGAAGAAAAAGGAGCAGAAGTAGGCCATGCAGGGTAAGGGAGGGCAAGTGCTCTTGACAAGTAGGCACACAATGGTACCCACCCCAAAGTGGACGGGATTATGAGAGAATTTCGAATTGGGTCTCACAGCGGGAAAGAGTAAACAGTGTGAGAGACAGAGTTTTGAAAACGTTGTCCTAATTGTAGAGCAGAGCTTAGACCAAAGTAGGACCGTAGATGCACAAGAAGCTCATGATTTGGTGAAAGGCCAGTACTCAAACTGACAGGAAGAACCATTTGAGAGAGCCAAGTTTGAAAAGTTTGGACCCGTCCTGGGTCGGGTCACTAAAAAGGTTTGGGAAGGTCCACTTCACAGGGATTCCCTCTATCATGAGTGAGGGCTTTCCGTAGCATAATGGATAGCTGAACTGCTAAGAGAGCTTCACTCAATTCCGACCTAATCCTCTGTTTTGCTAATGAATCAACATTGTTACGCCCATAATGGGACTTTTACACGATGACATAGCCAAGCCTTTAGGAAAGTTCAGTATTTGCACTGAATTGACAACCCCATTGACAACCATGCAGTCCACATGTGGACTGCAGTTATATTCTTTTGTT